GCACTCATCATCATCATTCATTGCCAGCGTTGATAGCAGTGTCTCGTTTTTACACGACTCCCACTATTGATAGCAGTGTCTCGTTTTGACACACTTCCAGCGTTGATAGCAGCGTTGATAGCAGTGTCTACTATCCAAGACATCCGCCGTACTTCACTGTTACTACTACTGCCATCCACCCACTCCAACTATACTTCACTTCGCTGGTACCACTACACCCACTACTACTACTACTACACTTCACTCGTTCACTCCCGCCAACTACAACTACTACTTCACTGTTACCACTGTTTCATCTCTCCTGCTCTTATTGCTACTACTACTGTGACTGTTACTGCTGCTGCATGCCTCCAGCTATGATTCTACATATCGATGTTAGGTTGCTTTGCCGGGATAATTTACGTCACCGCTCGCTCTTGGGAGCCTTGGTGTGAAGAGCTTGTTGCGTTACCGATCGCTCTTTATTTGGCGTCTCTGGGCCTTCTTGGGTGTCCAATTGGGGCCCTTTTGGAGCCCTTTTGGAAGCCTCTTGGGAACCTCTTGGGGGCCTCTTGGGGCTTCTCGGGGGACTCTGGGGGCCTCTTGGGAGCATCTTTGGGCGAAAGGCTAGACTTTTCGGTTCGTGGTCCCCCTCTTGGGGCCGTCTTGGGGCCCTCTTGGGCCGTCTTGAGGCGCCTCTTGGGCCGTCTTGGGGCCCTCTTGGGTTGTCTTGGGGCCCTCTTGGGAGCCTCTTGGGCCATCTTGGGGCGGTCTTGGGGGCCTCTCTGGGCCGTCGTCCACGCCGTGGAAGCCGAACAGCTGTGTATGCTAAAAATGTACTTGCCCCATGGGAAATCGAAGATGTTGGCCTCTTGGGACCCTCTTGGGACGCCCCTAGGGCACCTCTTTGGGGCCTCGTGGGAGGCTCTTGGGCCGTCTTGGGCGGTCTTGGGCTCTCTTGGAGCGCTCTTGGGCCGTCTTGGGGGGGAACCCGAAAACCATGCAAAAACCAAAAAGACATCCCGAAAACTGCCATTCCCCTGGCCTACCCCCCTCCCCTGGAACCCCTCCCTTTAGGGCTTCGCCCGCACCAAAACGTCATCACTCGTTCCTCGCTCTTTCCGTTACCTGGGCCGGCACAGAAATGGAAAGAGCGCTTCGGAAACAGAAACTGAAACTACTCACACCACCGTTCGTACTGGGAGCCTTGGCGCTGAGAGCTTGTTACCTCACCCCTCGCTCTTGGGAGCCTTGGTGTTCAGAGATTGTTGCGTTGCCGCCCGTTCCTGAGCCTTGGCTGGGCCTTGGTGTCAGGAACTTGGTACGTCACCGCTCTCTGCTGGAAGCCTTGGTCTTGTCAGCTTGTTTACGTCACTGTTCGCTCATGGGAGCCTTGGTGTGAAGAGCTTGTTGCGTTACCGATCGCTCTTTATTTGGCGTCTCTGGGCCTTCTTGGGAGTCCAATTGGGGCCCTTTTGGAGCCCTTTTTGGAGCCTTTTTGGAGCCTTTTTGGGGGCCTCTTGGGGCTCCTTGGGGCTTCTTGGGGCGAAAGGCTAGACTTGTCGGTTCGTGGTCCCCCTCTTGGGGCCGTCTTGGGGCCCTCTTGGGCCGTCGTGGGCGCCTCTGGGGCCGTCTTGGGGCCCTCTTGGGCCGTTTTGGGGGCCTCTTGGGAGCTTCTTGGGCCGTCTTGGGGCGGTCTTGGGGGCCTCGTGGACCGTCTTCAACGCCGTGAAAGCCGAAAAGCCGTGTATGCTAAAAACGTACGTTTGCCGACAGGAATTCCATGATGTTGGCCTCTTGGGACGCCTCTTGGGACGCCCCTAGGGCACCTCTTGGGGCTTCTTGCGGGGCTCTTGGGGCCTCCTGGGAGCGTCTTGGTGCGAAAGGCTAGACTTTTCAATTCGTGGTCCCCCTCTTGGGGCCGCCTTGGGGCCCTCTTGGGCCGTGTTTGGGCGCCTCTCGGGCCGTGTTGGGGCCCTCTTGGGCCGTTTTGGGGGCCTCTTGGGAGCCTCTTGGGTTGCTTGGGACGATCTTGGGGGCCTCTTGGGCTGTCGCCAACGAAGTGAAAGCCGAAAAGCCGCATATGCGAAAAATGTAAGTTCCCGGAGGGAATCAATGATTTTGGCATCTTGGGGGCCTCTTGGGGCGCCTCTTGGGCGCCTCTCGGGGCGTCTCGGAAGCCTCGTTGGCCGATCTTTGGGGCCTCTTGGGCCGCCTGGGGCCCTTCTGGGACGGAAAAGGAAAAGCATACAAAAAACCATAGGGAAACCCGAAAATGGCCATTAGACCGCATCCTTCCACCCCTTCCCCCTCCCCTGGACCCCTCCCTAGAGGGCTTCACCCAAACAAAACGTCATCACTCGTACCTCACTCTTTCCGTTACCTGGGCCAGCACGGAAAAGGAAGAGCGCTGCAGGAACTTGCTCGACAGGGCTCATGGCAACCTTCGCTCTTGGAAGCCTTGACGTTCAGAGCTTGTTGAGTTACCGCTCTCCGTTGGGAGCCCTGGTGTTCAGAGACTTGTGCGTTGCAGCTCGCTCTTGGGAGCCTTGCTGTTCAGAGCTCTTTGCGTCACCGCGCTCTGGGGAGCCTTGGTGTTCAGAGCTTGTTGCGTTCAGCGCTCGCTGTGTTCCTTGGCGTCTCTCGGGCTTCTTGGGTGTTGTTTGGTGGCCCTTTTGGATAGTTTTGGGACTGTTTGGACCGGCTTAGGGCCAGCCCAGACCCCACACCCAAGCAGCCCAGTCCCTACACCGCCTCTTCGAGCCCTCTTGGGAGCCTCTTGGGGCTGTTGGAGGAGTCTCGGGGCCCTCTTGGGCTATTTGGGGCCCTCTGGGGCCGTCTGGGGACTCTCTTGGAGCGTTGTCGGTTCTTTTGGGGCCTCTGGCGCCATCTCGGGACGATCTTTGGGCCCGCTTGGGCCGTCTGAGACCCTTCTGGGCCCGAAAAGGCAAGAACCCATCAAAAACATTGGAAAACCTTTAGAATAACAATGTTGTTCACCTCCTGAAGGCCTCTCGGGGGCCCTCTTGAGGGCAGCTGTTGTGCTCTTGGGCCGTCTTGGGGCCAGCCCAGTCCCCACACCCAAGCAGCCCAATCCCCACAACCCCCCTTCGGGCCCTCTTGGGAATGGGAGCCCTCTTGAGCTGTTTGGGAGCCCTCTGGGGCCGTCGGGGGGGCCTCTTGGACAGTTTTCGGCCCCTTTGGGGGGCCTCTGGGGCCGTCTCGAGGCTCTCCTGGACCGTCTGGAGGCCACAGGAAGCTCTCTTGGAGCTGCCTTCGGGCCGTTTTGGGGCCCTCTTCGGACGTCTTGAGGCCCTCGAGCCGCTTCACCCGGAAAATTCCGAGGAAACGGGCCATGGCTGAGCATTTGCTTAAGGTGGAGGGCTCAGGGTGAAATCCTCATGGGCTCTCGCACCTCGAAAATCGATCCGCCTTGTGATGCACCCCTTGCAGATTCAAGCTTCGTAAACCAATCGAGACGGCATTCCAGATTTCACCCTTTGCCCTCCACCCACAGAAAATGCTCGGCATGGAAGGCGCCCGCGAGCCGCTTCACTCCGAAATACAGAAGGCAAACGCCCCACGAGCCTCGCCTCGCCCCTCCCCCCGGACCCCTCCTTAGAGGCCTTCGCCCCCAACTCAACTTCTTTGGGTCGTACTTCGCTCTCTCCGTCATCTCACCCCCGGTGGCTTGCCATAGGGGTGCACGGCGTGCGTATCTTTCGGTACTGTGTCCCTTTGGAAAAGTTTCCAGTGGAGCTTCGGCCGATCGCGCCGGCTATTCAGAGAGCCGCATAAATTGCACCCTCCATGAGCCCCCCAAAAGATCGCCTCATAAAGGACCCGCGAACTTCGCAGACCACGGGTCTTCCCGCACTAGACAGACGGCTACGATGGCCCCAAGAGAAACCAGGATGCCCTCAAGATGTCTCCAAGACGACCCAAGATGCATCCAGGACGGCCCAGGATGGCCCTAAGAAGACCCGAGACGGCCCGAAAGGCCCTAAGAGTCCTCCGAGAACCTTCAGGAAAGCCCGAAGAGGATCTCTCCTCCTCATCCTCCTCTTCTTTTTCCACAACTGCTGGGGGAACGCATGATCCGATAGCGTTGCCAAGCTCTGGCCACGACGTTTGGCCACATAGGCGCTTCCAAAAGGCAGAGAGCGGCGGTGATTCGCCGTAGGCGTCTTCGATACAAGCCCCTCAGAAGTCAAATCGAGGGGGGCAATCGTGCCCTAAGATGAGGGGCAGCGATAGGGGGGACTGGGATAGGGGGGAAACATCGACCTGGAATCGGCGATACATCGATGATAGATCGGCGGTAAGCACCCGATAGTGAATTCGCAAGTTCCTGGGCAAGTTGCGGCTGTCGGGCACATATCGTCGATCAATGGGCAATTGAGGGTCGATGCATCCCCCCCTGTGCCTGTCCCCCCCGATCGTTGCCCCTGATAACAGGCCCCCATCCTTGCCGAACGGGTGCCGACACCCAAGGGTGCCACAACGAGCCGGCCTGCGAAATCGGCTAGGGATGGGCCGAAGAGGCAAGGGTGCAAACGTACCTTGGGAAAGTGACTCATCCTTAGCATGCGCGTGGGCTGTACTCCAGAGACAGAGTCTATGCACGTGTGAAACCGATACCGCAGAACGCCAGGAAACACTTGATATGGAAATGCTCGGTCTCCACATGGGGCCCATAGCCTCTTGATGTCCGGTTCCCACCGCGGTGGACATGCATAAACGCTCTCTGGATAGCTAGCACGCGCGTTGACTGTGCACCCACAGCAGGGGATCACAGAATGGTGACATTGAGCTTGGAAGCGGCCAGGCGGTCTGCGATGAGTGGGCCCCGGGAAAATCGGTCACGATGAGGCGACGAAAACCAATCCTCTGAAAATCAATCCCTGGGCCCTCCAGAGATCGAACCGCGTCCAGCCGTGGAGAGGAGAGGCTCGCTTATCCTCCTTCTGCTGGCTGCAACCAGTGCTCTGCGGCCTCGACTGGGAGCCATCCCTGGCAGCCTCGAGCGGCACGTCCGCGTGCGGCCACCGCTCGATGGAGCTGGCCGTCAGCTCGATCCGCACGGCCAGGCCGCCCTCGGCTGTGTGGGGCTGCGCCGAAGCGAGCCTGGCGAGGTCCTGGCCCACGCGACGGACGCCGACGCCGCACGCCGACGCCGACGCCGACGCCGCACGCCGACGACCACGACCAAGACCACGACGACCACGACCACGACCACGACGACGGCGACGGCGACGACAACGGCGACGGCGACGGCGACGGCGACGGAGGAGGTGGCCGCGAGCGCCCCGCATCCGATGGAGCGGCGGCGAGCACGGCCGGCGGCCGCCGCGCCCGCGCGCGCGCGCGCGAAACCTCGCCACTTGCACGCCGCTCGCTGGTCCACAGAGCCAGGCGGAGGCTCCCGGCCAGGCTCCGGGGCGCACGCTCTCCTGGCCCGGCCAGGATCAAGGGGCCCAGGGACCCACAAATAAATACACTCAATAAATGGATTCCCTATATATATATATATATATATCCACTAGAACCATCGCGCGCGCTTCGCGCGCGCTCAGGTTCTAGCAGGCCCCAGGCCTTGACGAAGTCACTGCTCCACTGAAGTAGTGGACCACGGTACACGCTTGCCAATCTGCTTTCCGAAAGGCCTTCGAGGAAAATGGTTGTGTAGGGGGGCGGAGGCCGTTTGAATCGGGCTCCCAGAAGGCTTCTGGGAGCATGGGTTTTGGGGCGTCTTGGGGAGCCTGTTGGGGCGTGCCGTCGTCGTCGTCGTCGTCGTCGTCGTCGTCGTCGTCGTCGTCGTCGTCGTAATGTTGTCGTCGTCTTCGTCGTTTCGTCGTCGTCGTCGCTTCAAGATGGCGCTCGGGGCAACTCTGTGCGAAACGATCTGCGGAGGGCCGCGAGAAGGCGATCAGTCATGTTCCCAATCAACTTCCCAGACAGCTCTCCTGTAGCATGATGGTACTTCGAAACCTCCGGAGACTCGCGGGCCCATATTTCTTGAGACATGGTTTGTTGGGGTGTTTTGGGGGGTCTCTTGGGCGTTCCCTGGGGGCCCCTTGGGAGGCCTCCGGGAACTCTCGGGCCCATGATGAACCATGTCCCCGGAAGGTTTTCTAGGGACATGATTTCTTGGGGTGTATTGGGGGGCCTCTTGGGCGTTCCCTGGGAGTCCCTTGGGGGTCTCTTGGGGCTTCCTGGCGGCCTCTTGGGCGCCTCACGGGGCTTCGTGGGAGCCTCTTGGTGGCCTCCAGGGGCCTACAGGCGGCCTCTAGGGCCAGAGACCTCGAGATATCGGTTGGCGGTCCCCTCTGGGCCCTCTCTTGGGGAGCCCTTGGGGCACAGTTGGGTTGTCTGGGGAGCCTCCTGAGCCGTCTTGGGGCCCTCTTCGGGGCCTCGTGGCCCGTCTTGGAGCGATCTGAAAGGCCTCCGAGCGAGGCCGTGAGGGAGCGCTGGGAAGCGGGGAAAGCGAGAACGCCTAAGTCCTTCAAAAACCATCGGAAAATTAGTGAATCTTGTCTCCCTGGGCCCTCTTGCGGAGCCTCTTGAGTCCGTCCTGGAGCGTGTTGGAGTCCTCGTCGGCCGTCTTGAGGGCAGCTTGGGCATCTTCGGAGCCTCTTGGGACCGTCTAGGATCCTCTCGGGACCTCCATCAGCCTGTCGTGGCCTGATTCGGGGCGGGCCGCCTCGGGACCCCTCTGGGCCTTCTCTTGGCGCGCTCTTGGGGCACACTTGGGTTGTCTGGGGAGCATCCTGGGCTGTCTTGGGGCCCTCGTCGGGGCCTCGTGGGCCTTCTTGGAGCGATCTGAAGGGTCTCCGAGGCCGTGAAGGGAGCGCTGGAAAGCGGAAAAAGCGAGAACGCCAAAATCCAAAACACTCGGAAACGAGTGAATCTTGCCTTCCAGGGCCCTCTTGGGGAGCCTCTTGAGTCCATCCTAGAGCGTGTTGGAGTCCTCGCCGGCTGTCTTGAGGGCATCTTGGATGTCTTCGGGGCCTCTCTGGACCGTCTAGGGCCCTCTCGGGACCCCCTTAGCCTGTCGTGGCCTGCTTCGGCGCGGGCTCGGCCGCCTCGGGAGCTCTGGACCCCCCCCCGCAACCCCCGGTGGGCACCGCTGGGAGGAACAGGCAGCGGCCTGCCCCCCCCCTGGGCCTACTCCGAGATAGAGAATCATGCTCCCGGGAAGCTTTCCGGGAGCATGGTTTGTTCGGCTCTTTAAGAGGGGGGCCTCTGGGGGCTTAACCAGGGGCCCCTTTTGGCCTTGTCGGCAAGCCTGTTGGAAACATGGTCGGGGCGGTGGGCGGAAGCAGAAGGAATCATGTTCCTGGAGCTATCTGGGAAATCCGATTTACCGAAATGTCTTGGGGGCCCGCAGGGGGCTTCCCTGGGGGCCCCTTGGGGGCCTATTATGGCTTCCGGGGGGCCTCTTGGGAGCTTCACGGGGCTTCTTGGGAGCCTCTTGATGGCCTCCGGGGGCGTCCTAAGAGCCTCTCAGGCCGGAGACCTTGAAATGTCGCGCTCTTCGGGCCCTTTGGGTCGCTCTTGGGGCGCTCTCGAGGCCCTCTTGACTTATCTGGGGAGCCTCCTGGGCCGTCTCTGGGCTGTCTTGGGAGCCTCTGCGGCCGTCTTGGAGCGATCTGAAGGGCCTCTGACGCGGTCCGGGACCTTGGGGAGACATGGGAGAGCGCAAGAATGCTTCAAAAGCCATGGGAACATTTGTAACTTTCAGCTTCTGGGGCCTTTTGGAGGGGCCTCTGGAGGCGCACGTGGGGCGTTTTGGCGGCGTCGTCGGCCGGGGTGAGGCCATCTTCGGCGTGTCCGGGGCCTCTGGGGGCTGTCTTGTGGCGTCCTGGGAATCCGGAAATCATGTTCCCGGAGAGGCTTCAGGGAACATGATTTCGAACGAGGCTCTCTTGGGCCTCCCTGAGGCCATCTTGGGGACCTCCTGGGCCGGCTTTGGGGCCTCTTGGGCCGTCTTGGGAGGTTCCGTTAGCCCCACAGGACGACCCTTTCGGGCCCTCTTGGGCCCTCTTGGGTCTCTCTCTAGCTGTCTTGGGGCTCCTCGGGGGCGTCTGGGGCACTGTGAAGACGAAGCAAGCGAGTATGCTGAAAACGTAAGTTTTACTTAGGGAGCTGGCTGATGTTTGCCTTTTGAAGGCCCTCTTGGGGCCCTCTTCGGCGATCTTCAAGCCATCTCGGGCCCTCTTGGGCCTCGCGGAGGCTGTCTTGTGGGCCTCTTGGGCGTCCTGGGAATCCGGAGGTCATGTTCCTGGAGAGGCTTCCGGGAACATGGTTTCGAACGAGGCCCTCTTGGGCCTCCCTGAGGCCGTCTTGGGGGCCTCCTGGGCAGGCTTCGGGGCCTCTTGGGCCGTCTTGGGGGGTTCTGCGAGCCCCACGGGACGATATTTTTGGGCCTTGGGACCTCTTGGGTCTCTCTTGGGCTGTCTTGGGGCTCCGCGGGGGCGTCTGGGGCACTCTGAAGACGAAGCAAGCGAGCATGCTGAAAATTTATGTTTTACGTAGGGTATGGGCCGATGTGTGCCTCTTGAAGGCTCTCTTGGGGCCCTCTTCGGCCATCTTCAAGCCATCTCGGGCCCTCTTGGGCCTCGCTGAGGCTGTCTTATGGGCCTCTTGGGCGTCCTGGGAGCCGGGAGGTCATGTTCCGGGAGAGGCTTCGGGGAACATGATCCGGGAGAGGCTTGATGGGCCGGGGAGAGGCTCTCTTGGCAATACAACGCGGATGATCACATTTGGCACAAAGGACCGCACCGCGGAAATCGTGTTCCGGAAGAGGCTAGCGGGAACACGATTCGATACGAGCGTCTCTTGGGCCTCCTCCCTGAGCGAGCGCGCTGTTGCCTCATGGCCGTTTTGGCGCTTCTTGGGCGATCCAGTGGGGGCTGGCGGTGAAGCCCCACAGGCCGACCCTTGGGGGCGGACCGTCTGGGGCCCTCGTGGTCTCTCCCCGTCTGTGTGGGGCTCCGCGGGGGAGTCTGGGGTGTCTGGGGGCACTGTGAAGACGAAGCCAGCGAGAATGCGAAAAATTACGTTTTACACAAGGAATGGGCGGATTTGTGCCCCTTTCAAGGCCCTCTGGGCCCGGGGCAGTCCAAGGAGGCTGGAAGCCCAAAGGTTGCGCGGGGGCGCCCATGTGGGATACTTCGCCGCTACGAAAGTTCGGCCAAAATTCAACGCCTCCCGTTAGGCGACGGGGCTCCCGTACAACGTTGGCAGTGGGCCCGCTAGGCCGCGGGGCCCCAGTACAATGTTCGGTTGAAGCATTTTTTCGCTCCAGTCTCGGGCGGCACCGCCCTTTCGAAATCGAGCCCGCAGGTTTCGAAATCCAGTCGAGCTCGTTTTTTGGAAGATAAGTCCTAGGCGAACGCAACATTTCGAAATCAGACCGACGGTTTCGAAATCCAGACGAGATCGTTGAAGCGGGGAGGAAGCCTCAGCGAAGCAACTGCATTTTTCAAGGGCGCGGCCACAGACGCTAACTGTCTGGCCTGCAAACGCCATACATGGATTATCTAACCTAGCATCGATGGACAGACCCGTCTGCAATGCTGATCGCATTGGCTGGCGTGGCAGAGTCTGCGCAAGGGGAAGGCACGATCACCGTCGCAAAACATGGACACCTCACTACAAAACCTGCCAAGTCGGGCTGGACAGTTGAATCCGGGTCCTGCCCCCCGAGCATCTGATGATATTGGCTGCAAAAACCAACGTATGCGAGCGGTGCCTCTAATTCGCCAGCCGCGGCGGCGCGCTCCAGGGGTGGCATGCGGCCGGGAAACACGTGTCGATAACCTTGCTCTCTCGAAAACACAAAGAACGTGACCCCCTGGGCGGCTTGTATAATGCTTGAAAAACCGCGCTCCTCTGGGGGCCCTCTTGACTTATCTGGGGAGCCTCCAGGGCCGTATCTGGGCTTTCTTGGGAGCCTCTGCGGCCGTCTTGGAGCGATCTGAAGGGCCTCTGACGCGGTCCTGGGGGGAGGCATGGGAGAGCGCAAGAATGCTTCAAAAACCTCAAGAAAATGTATAACTTTCAGCTTCTGGGGCCCTTTGGAGGGGCCTCTGGAGGCGCACGTGGGGCGTTTTGGCGGCGTCGTCGGCCGTCCCGAGGCCATC